ATATCTTAAAGTACATCCATAACACCTCATTGTCTTGCATTACCTTCCACTTTCCTTCGCACTGCCAAAGCTGTGAGGTCTACACAGGCCATATTACCTGGGAAAAACCATACTGCAATAACTCGACATTGCATGTGCATTAAGACATATTCCAACTTTAACATGTTATACGCTATACTCTGTTTTGTTATGTTATGTTACGTTGTATGGTATAGTTTATAATATGAGTCTCAATATGTGCATATAAACCTTCGTAGGTATACATCCAGGAACTTTCTCTCCAGCATTGAAGTTGCAACCGTATGCAAGGTTGTGCTGGTCGTCGACAAGAGCTGCTTTGTTTATACCTGCATGAATAACGAGGAGCCTGTGCCACTACAGGCATAGTCGGCATAATGATGTGCAGTGCAACATATACAGCTTCGCAGCTGACCTTAAAGCAGGGGCTGGCCACAGGTTTCGACACTCACTCTCGCACGCAGCAGGCAAGGATCCCCAAGGTTTGAGGAATCGGAATGCGTGAGAGCTCGAGGTTTGGAGCATGGGGGCATGGGGCGTGCTTTATGCTACCCTGGACTGTCACAGCCAAGGCCCTGCACTGCAGACACGAACCCCGCCACAGCGACGTCGCAGAAACACTAAAGAACCCTACAATTTCTCAGCCAGGTTCTGAACTAAACTCAGCAAGCCTTAAACCCGCAAGCCAAGCCCTGACTCGACCAGCAAGGCTTAAGAAATTTAACCGAGGAACCCCCCCCGCCCGGAAGCTCCAGCCTTCGGAATGCTGCCCACGCTGACATTGATGTTTCTGTTGAGGATCTTCGAGGTCTTGGGTGCCGGCGTGCCTGCTGATCTTGGGGAAATGATGCTCAAAGTGAAGACCGAGAGGCCGGCAGGGACATCAATGCATTAATGTAGGGGCCTTAAAAAATATGAATAGGGTTTTTTGGGGTTCAATATTGTGATTTTAGTATAATCTACCCCAAACCCTACTATATTGCTGCTGCTCGTTTGTGCAACCTTCCTGCTCTTGCTGACTTTGTCCTCGCGACAGCTGTTGTGGTTTATGATGCTGCTGCTACTCGTCTGGCAGAGTTGCAAGTATTTTAGACTTGTTGCAGCCGTCAGGTGAACATGTGACATGCGGCGGAAGAAAAGAAGAACGGAAAGCAATTATTCTAGTACTGCTGCGATAGCACATCTACTCGAAAGTGGACATGCCGCGGAAGAACAAGAAGAACGGAAGATGTCCAAAAGAGCACTGCTGCTACAGCGACTGCGACTGAAACTGCTGCTGCTTCTCCTGCTTCCACAAAGGCTGCAGCTGCTATTCCTGCTGCCACGAACACCACCCAAAACTGACTTTCGGGGGTGGAGGGTGTCTGGTTGCACGAAGTCGCCTTCATGTTGGATCCTACATAGTCTATAATACGGAGGCTAGAATACGGAACCTATGCCGGGCTGGGCCTTGGAGCTTGATTAAATGTCCAGGGCCTAGGGACGCCTAGGGCATCAACTCGATGACAGACATGACGCGTGATGTTTGGACAGAACGTGTCCTACCTCTTCTACCTCAAACCTTAAACCCGAACAATTACTCGTCATCCGACGCCACTCCGGGTTCTGAGCTCGAGCCTTGCTGTGTGATTTTGGGGCGCACGTGGAAGCGGGAACCTGTGGGTAGAAGCGGTAGCTGCGGGCAGGTTTCGAAAGATCTCGCAACTCGAGCAGGCGCTCGGTGCACAGTCTCTAGACACTAGGCCCGTAGGCCCCATAGTAGTTCCTTTTTGGGGTTCATATTTAGAATCCTATAAGGTAATTCCAAAAAGGAACTACTTTGGGGCCTATGGGTAGGCATGACTCTCGCAATTGCCTCGTGAAGAGTTTAGAGCAAGCTACCGCCACAGGAAAAATGCTCAGGGACGGAATGTGGACGGCTTCTTGACGTGTTGGTGGTTGAGATTTCCGGATCACGTCACTGTGCTACAGCTTAACAGGCGGCGCGGCCTAGCAGCCAAGTAGAGGATGTAGAATTTCACAAACTTCCAAGCATCCTGCAACCCTTTGCTGCTGGACTCAAGTCAAGCCAGATCCGCTTTAAACCGCGACTCTGCCGATCAGCTGGGAAGCAGCGCGGCCAGAAACCCACAACCCAAAGCCCAACACGGACTCATTTTCGACCTGGACGGCCTTCTGGCACCTTGATGACGCCGGGCCGACCGTGCACAACACCTGCAAGAGTTGGCTTGCTGCAAACCCAGAGCAGGCTTGGGAACCTCCAAACTCCGAATCTTGAACGAAGAGTTTTTCGGGCTGAGGGGTGTAGGGCATGAGAATGGCAAATGCGGACCAGAACGCCCCCAATTGCTCCCGGCCTTTGTTTCGGAAGATCTCCACACCAACGGTCAAGTAGTCCTGTGTTCATGGGCTGAAGTTTCGAAGAATGTCCCACAAGTCTCGTGCTTCTAGCTTCATGAGGCCGCGTGGAACATTTGACTGCATGATTGGAAGCGAGACGCTCCTTTCAATGGTGATTATCAGAACATGTTCAGAGTCTTTTATCGGCTCTGTGGCTTCAGGCCGTGTCTAGGCTGTTGCTTGTGCTTCGGCAAGCCACCTTCCACCTGCCCTTTGTTATATATAAATATATAAATATATATACATATATAAATATGTATATATATATATAGTTATTTATTGTATGTATGTATCTATATATATATATATATATACTTATTTATTTATTTACCTATTTATTTACACTCTCACAACTCGGACAA